TGTATATATATATATATGTGTGTATATATAAATATTTACGTATATACACATTCGAATTCATATATATATATATATGAATTCGAATGTGTATATACGTAAATATTTATATATACACATATATATATATATATATACATATATATATATATAAATATTTACGTATATATATATGTTTGTATATATATAAATATTTATATATATATATATGAATTCGAATGTATACATACGTTAATATTTATATATATATATACATATATTTATATATATGTATATATATGTATGTATATATATAAATATTTATATATATGTATATGTATGTATATATGTATGTATGTATATAAATATTTATATGTATAAACATTTATATATGTATATATATTATTGTTATGTAATATCAGAAGTTTAACTTGGAGCAGTTGGATGATTGTCAATTGGAACTCCAGGGTTAAGGAGGATTGAGCTGGAGCAGTGGAAGGATGGGTGACCTACTGGGAAGTGAGTTGCGGGATCGGGATCGGGATAGATGTCGGGGTCGGAGTTGGGCCGGGGGATCGGAGCCGGGGGTCGGGATCGGTGCCGGGGGTCGGGATCGGGATCGGTATCGGGATAGATGTCGGGGCCGGGGTCGGGATCGAGAATATATTTTGAATTTTTTGTTGGAATGTTCCAACGGATTGCGGTTGGAAATTCCGTTGGAAAATTCCAACGGATATCGGTTGGAAATTCGGTTGGAAAATTCCAACCGATAAATCCGTTGGAAATCCGTTGGAAAATTCCAACGGAAAAATTCGTTGAAATTCCGTTGAAAATTCCAACGGTTTTCCAACGGACACCGTTTTCTAACGACGAAATTCCAACGGATTTATCCGTTGGATATCCGTTGGAAACGTTAATTTCCAACGGATATTTGGTCATTTCCAACGGATTTGCCCGTTGGAAATGACCATTTTTTTTGTAGTGTATATTCGTATCGATTTTTTTTTTATCTTTTGAAAGATATAATTAGATTAAAGATTCGATTGATTTTCAGATTAGTACATATTTATCATTACAGATAGATATGTAAACTTCGACCCAAGTGTTGCAATTCTTTTTAGCTTATAGATGTGTGTACTATAGTTAAAGCATGTACAAATTTTGGTTATGTTCTATATTATATATGGAATTATCCGTTCACAGTAATTTTTTAAAGATGGTGTGTATATAATATGTATATATATATGTATATAAATGTGTTGTTAGCTTGTATGTAATCCATAAACTATAGATATGAAGTCGGCAAAATACAAATTATAATGTTAATGTTAATGGCAGCCCAATGGCAGTTTACAATTACAATAAACGAACCGACAAAGAAATGTTATTGAATTCTTTACGGAATTCAACCAAAGTCATTAAAACATTATTTTGGTAAATAAACTAATCATCATTATTATAATAATAAAATATTTAGCCCACTTGGATTATGTTTGTGGTTATTTGAAATTTCATGGTGTTGAAACACTTGAATCCTGAATAAGAAAGAAACATGATACGTAATATATATATATATATATATATATATATATATGGGGGCAAATTACACTATATATAGTCATTCATGATCCCTTCTAGTATATACTTTATCAAAACAAATCCAATATGCATATTATAATACTTGGTTCCAAAAGTCCAAGTGGGTCTCCATTCAAATCCGAACAGAAAAATAAAATAAAATAATAGCTATAATATAACTAATTGATGGTGCAATAATAATATTCTTAACTCGATTTTCGTGGTGGTAAAGTTTCCACATAATTAAAAGTTAATGTTGGAAACTTTTGATAATTGCTAGTATTATTATTGTAAGACCAGAGCCAAAGTGGCCGCCCGGAGGCTTTCTGGATTCTTACATCAACTCGATGACGTCACTTCTTCATTGATGTTGTCTTCTCCGTTTCCGTTTTGTCTTTGGTTTCGTGGAAAAAAAACTTACTTCGAAAAGTATACCGTGAAGGGATGTTCGTCGTAATATATATATATATATATATATATATATATATAACACAAGATCTATGCACAATTTTTTTAAAAAAAATGGTAACTATATATATCATCAAGACTCAAATTGATTTCATAATTGAGAAAAAATCACGTGTTTGGGATGATACCCTCTCTCCCTAAATTTGAAGTTTGATCTCAGGACGAGATAATGTTTTGCACCAATTTCATCGGTTGAACCAATTTTGGGTTTTTTAAAATCTTAGTAAACTTCTCATTTTTTTTTTCAAATCAAAATTGTTATATAATCTATATGATTTATATACTATTTGGCAGAGTCAAATTATTATTTATCTTCTTCGTTTCATCGGTTGAATGGATTTGTTTCAGTATTATAATTGATCATTGTTCCAAAGGGATCTATCACATTTATTTATGGTTAATATACCAAAAGAAAATAATGTTAAATAGGATAGACAAAAGAAACATGGTACAATGTTTTAGAAAGGGGATTTTTTTTGTTAACGAAAAGTGGAATTTTTTTAACAGTTTTTGTAGTAGTTTTTATTTTTTATTCACTTTTTTTAGTAGTTTTTTTTTTGGGGTATAAATTAAATTTTGGTGAATGTTTTTTTAGTAGTTACATTCCTCACGTAGTTGTATTATGTCATTTGGTGCGTACCTTTGCATACGTAATCGAACTAATATAAACGTGAGATTTTCCACGATGTTTTATATATGATTTTATACTATAAACTTTGGACAATGGTAAATTAAATGCGACTAATCATCAATCGATCGAGTTTATATTTTAACAAAAAAAAATCATCCGATTAAAAATTTGGTTCAATTGATATGATTTAATATAATTTGGTCTTAATGGATTTGATTGGTTTGATTTTGGTTAAATTTATTTTCGATGATTCTTCTTCGTCTTCTTCTTTGTTCTTCCATATTACACTTAAAAAAATCTTGATTCTTCATTTGAATAAACAATAAAAATAAATATGTTTTAATCTATTTCGAGTTTCTTTCAAATTCGATGTAAGTGTACATACATATTAATTATTCTCTTGTATGAATATTATAAAATCCTTGTGCCACCGAGCAAGTCATTACCTGAACACATCACTTACACGTATATTATTAGATTGATTGAATAATATACGAAATTTCTAATTTTAAGAGGAGACGCAGGTCGAATAATAATAATAATAATAATAATAATAATAATAATAATAATAATAATAATAATATACAAATGGAATTTTCTATAGCTATAACTATCAAATCGACAAGTCGTGACATTAACTCATATATTTTTTTTCCATTCACGTAATTTCCCCATATATGATGTATGAGATATAACCCTTACGTGTGCATGCTACGTCATCCATTAGGCAGAGATCCATTAGGTTTTTGGAGAAGCAAATTTAGATTTTGAGCTAACAGATTGGTCGGCCGACAATAAAAGGAAGAAGTAGACAAGAAGCTGACACTGATCGGTCTTTGTTTTACTATAAATTTAAAAAAAAAAATCTATCTTTTGATTGTCTCAATTAAATGATTGGATAAAAAAAGTTATACTATTTTAGTTTATTTTTTTCAAAGATTATGTTTTAGTTATTATAAAAGATGTTCTATGTAATCCATGATTTAGTAATAATCCAGACCTGCTTAAAATATTGGTTGATTTGTTGATATTTGGCATTCAAAATTTTCAGCTGTAAAAGAATATGCATATTGGTTTTTATATATCAGAATCTGATTTATTTCAAATTTAATTGGGGTTTAGGAAAAAACTCAGTTAAAAAAAATCATTTTCATCTATTTTTGTTATTTTCATTTTCAGTGTAGATACAAATAATTTAATTGACAAAATCATGAGTAGCAGATTAATTACATATATTAACCGAGCATATATACTATTTTCAAAATAATTACCAAAACTTTTATAATCTCACATTAAACCTTAAGAGTATTTGGAAGTTGCTTGTTGACCCAATCCAATTTTGGGGAGACCAATTTGCCAAATGAACAAATACACAAACAGATCAAAACCAAATTATACATGACTATAATCGAATTGAATACGAACTAAAAATTTATATTGAACTTTACAATCTTTTAAAATAAAAAATATCGAATTTAAATTGAATAATAAAAAATAACCAAAAATTTGTATTTAAATTATATTTTTTATCAATAAAAATTGAAATTAAATCAAATCCAAAATGAGATAATATTTGATCGAATTAAATCAAATTTAACATAAAAGTCGAATAATTATAATTTTTTTAAAATTTAAAATAATCGAAACACAAATATAACTAAATTTCAATTTAAAACGAAACTTCCCTATTCAAATACGGATATATACCATTTGAGCAAAAAGTTATAAACTAAATCAGAACGCATATAACTTTTTATCAAACGGATCAAATGTTTTGTGCGATGTTGTAGTAACAAAACATGAATTTTACATTACTCTGCACCAAAATCACCCGAAAGAAGCAAAAACCAAAAGAGGAAAATAGTTGTGATAACTCATTACTCTTCCCTAAGGATGGGAACTGAAACAAGAAGATGAGGGAGTTAGGCAGAACAAGAGAGTTGGAGAACACGATTTCTTTGTCGGACGAGCTCGTGAAGATCTTGAACACAGCCTCTGGTCTCGACAGCCTTAACGCATCCCGTGACATTATCTTTAGCTCCTCTGATTTCGGTCTGAACCAGTCCGCCACGATTTTCGCCATCTCCTCTGGAGATTTCGGGAGTTTTCCGCACCCGTTTTCCACAACGTATGGTACATATTCCCGGCCTCCTCATAAAATAAAAACCCGAAAGTTGCACAGCTTATGAACGAACTGGATCTAAACCAAAAGAGTCGGTTTCTGTTCCGGATGTTTAACACAAACTTACTTGACCGGCAATGTAATCGTGTAGAGTGATCGGTGGCCCTCGTATCATAGCTTCGGCTATATAGCTCCGTAAGAAAACAAAACGTAATGGGTACAAGCATCTGACCCATTGGCACCCGAGATTCTCATCATACAACTGGCCAGTAATGGGCCGGGCCCACCGGTATAAGACAACGATTGGGCCGTACCGGAATTTTTCCTTCCTCCCACATCCAAAGATATCACTGTTCGGTTTGCGCCACGAGAGTCAGGGAGAGAACGAAAACAGCCGTTTGAAGGAAAATGGCGATTTGCATGTGTTGCAGCAAACCACCGATCCTGGTTAAACCGACGTGGAATCCACGCAGATCTCAGAGAAGATCGAAGCTCGGTTTCGAATCTATCGGCAAGACCGCGTTGGCGAGTTGCCGGGTTCTGACCGTGAGGGCTTCAGCGGTGGATTCGTACGAGAGCTCCCCAGATTTCGTCAAGCGTATGGAACAGGCGTGGATTATCTCCCAGGTTGATCTTCTTCTTCTTCGTAGTTCGCTGATTTTGCTGGAAGATTGATCTTCGTCTTGGTGACTAATATTCGTGTTTCGTGTGCGGGAATTGAGGATATTCTCCGGGAATTTTGCTTGCTTGTGCTGTGATTGTTGTTAATTTACTGTATCTTTTGTTTCGGAAATTTCGTTGAGGCAACTTAGCAGCTCGATTTTCCCTGAAATTCGGATAGTTGTGGAGATTCTGCGACAGAAACAATAGACTAGGTTTATTCTGGTTAAAGATTTTCAAGAAAATATTGCACTGATATATACATACAACAAATATATATGTATGTATGTGTACAGATCCACGTTATGTACGAGTCTATGCATCTATTTATAGTACAGAAATTTCTGTCAGAGGCTTGAAAACTCGGATTGTGTGATCAGATGAGGCAAACTTCTTGATGCTCACATCCGATGAAATATCTATCAATCAAATTTCTGAGCACAAAGAGAGTAGTTTTGTCAGTCATCACACACGTTCATGGAGATAGGACAATTCTTTGAATTGCCCATGTTGAAATCTTCACTGTAAGGTGCTTTTATGTAAATCTTTTCATTATAGTGGTGTAGAAAGTTAGAAACAGACTTAAGTAAAGGAACAGTTGGTGAAATCTGGGCTTATTTAGATTTCACAATGCAAAAAGCTTGCGTTTCATTTTCATTGGTGTATTCTTTAGAAATGTAAACGATCCTTCAAGGTTTAAGATTCTCAATGACGACCTTAGCTTCCGTTGTTTCCTTTTTTTGCCTGTAGCAGCAGCCAAGACCTATTGGATGTTCATCATGCAGTTCGAAAGGTCACATTGAATGCAAATGGTGTGCGGGTACGGGTTTCTTCATCATCGGTGATAGCATGCTTTGCGAGGTACCTTCAAGGAACACCTCTTGCATCATCTGCTCCGGGAAGGTTCGTGAACGATTAAATGAAATCCAACGGTTGTATGTATTTTCCAAACATCTTCGATTATCGCTCATGTCATTTCATGTTGAACTCGGATTGTTGTTTTCAGGGTTCGATGTGTTGTTCTGATTGCAAAGGAACTGGGTTTCGTGCCAAGTGGTTGGAAGGGCCTCAAAAGACATCGTAGATATGTGCTTTTAACTTCAGCCAAAACAAAAAAACAAAGACAAAGTGTTCGTCTTATTTCGGTAAATACAGCATCGATACAAAGTTACTCGATCTGCTCTTTGATTATTTTGTTGTGTAAATGGCTGGAAAAGTGTTTCATAGCATTGAACCGACTTCAAGTTAGTGGAATAGAAGGCACGTAGACATATATGTTTATATGTATATATATATTGATGTATGTATTCTCATGTGTGTGCACTTTTAGTGCCTTCGTCCCCATTTTTGTTTCTCTTCTCAGATTTCATTGTTTCATTGGTGTATTATTTATTTCTTATGGCTTGGGTCATTTGTTTTCATTTCAATGAAATATCGTACTATGTTGCAGCTAAACAGGGATCTATTTTGCAATACAATAATTAAATAGTAGAGTTTTAAGATTTTTTTTTCCTTTGGAATATTGTTAAGATAACCAAGACCCAAGCTTACATATATATATTACAAGATACGAGAAGAGAAAAACGAGGAAGATCCCACATGAATGCATGCGTGCATGCATGTGTATATATTATGGTTATCTCCTGTGTGTCCTTATGTGGTTAGTGGTATTCATTCTTATCGCAGTCGCGGTGGCGAAAACTCCACCGGAACACAACCCGGCCGCCGCCAAAAGGACTGCCTTCCATTGCCTACTCGTCGCCAGAATCGCCAACGCTGTCAAAGCCACCGCCATTGCAGTGAACGCCTTTTTCCACCGCTCGAAACCCTTCACCACGTTTCTGCAGCTTCTGCAATGGATCACGTGTCTGAAATACCGGTTCGATAGATTAGGAGCATGCATTGTCCCTATCCCGCCTTTGGCCGGACCCGAAGCTGAAACGGCTGCAACCAGACCAGCCGGGGCGTGTTCCACCACTGCTGGAACCTTTGGAGGAGAGACGGTTCGATGCCCGAAATGGTAAGGCATTCCATGCCCTGCTCTGTCCATCCACTTTCTATACTCGGCAACCCATGTGTCGGAAGACCTTAGGTTCAGATACAAGTCTTTTGTCGGGACCTGTTCCTTCATAAGGGTCTCGTTTTGCGACGATAGAAACCCCATGTCCTCCTCGAAAACCTTGCAAGCATTCTGATGGAAGTACCATTTCGGTAACAGCTTAATCAAAGCCGATCTTGTCGTCCCTCCAAACCGAACAATAAGCATAGACTTCCCTTGCCCGGTTGGTCTACATAGGAACAAACCCGTAAAGTACTGTCTCTCCCCGTTCTTGTCCACAAACTCCCTATTGTTCTGCAAAACACATGGAGCCTCGAATCTGAGAAAGTTCGACGGTTCCTCCCCGTCTTTCTGTCTTCCCCATTTTCCCGCAAACCCACGGCTTGTACGCTCAGTAACTTCAAAGACCAGCGGTCCAGCATCTTCCCTTTTCGCAGTGAAATCCGTTCTGTTATGAGATATGGGGATGTGGGCTGGATCCATGAGATTCTCGAGCAGGATGGAGTGGTCATACGGAAGGTCGTGGGTCGAAGACAAGTCCATAAACCCGGGTCTTGCGAAATTCTCGAACCAAGGCAGCTTCTCGGGGTTCGGTGGCGTCTTGTTCGACATCCATACCCACACAACTCCCTGTGACTCCCTCACTTCATATGGCTTAACACACGCCGCCTTTGGAATCTTGGCATTGGCCGGAAGCTGTAATAAAACCAGCAAGTAAAATCATCTCTATATTCTCAGTTCGATTCTCGTCATGATCTTGTAAATAGTAAACCCAACTGTGAAATGCTGCCAAAACAAGTGAAACAAACCTGAGGAATCTTGACACATTGTCCATCTCCTTCGAACTGCCATCCATGGTACAGACATTCTAATCTCCCATCAACCAGTTGTCCTTCAGACAACTTAGCCAATCTAAGCAAAAAAGCAAACAGCCCTCAAGTTTTTTTTTTTGCCGTTAAACCATATAAAAAACCGTAAAGCCTGCAACTTTCCATCTAAATAATCAGATTCATATCAAAAGAATGGTTTTTTGGATTTGGGTTTTCGCAAATCTCACCGGTGGGGACATCGATCTTCATAACAGCGTAAAGCCCCGTCGCCGTCTTTATACAAAACTATCTTCCGAT